TCCAGTTCCACACTGACACTGGGGGGCCTGCTTGGGATTCTCTCTCTGCCCCTTCCCTGCTCACTCTCTCACACTCTCTCTCCCTCTCTCTCAAAATAAATAAATCTAAAAAAATTGTTTATTCTTTTATGATAGAAAAAATATCAAGTAAAAATTAACACATAGATTCTTTACAAAGAATTACTAAGAAACTCATTCATTCCTGTATCCTACAGTTTAAATAGAAAGCATTTTAGGTAAGGCTAATGAAAATACTTCTAAATCACCTGTCAAAATGAGCAACAAGTATTGCAGAAAAGAAAACGAAATGTAATGTTAAGCGTGAAATGATTCCATTTGTATAAAATGGAAAAGGCAAATCAACAGAAAGTACACTAGTGGTTGTCTAGGGGAGTTGGGGAGGTGTTGGGGGAAAAAAAAGGACAGTAACTGCTAACAGTCCATGGTTTTCTTGTTAGGTTGATGAAAATGTTCTAAAACGGAGTCTGTGGCAATAAATGCAAAACCCTAAATGTACTAAAACCAGTGAATTGTACGTTTTAAGTGGGTAAATTATTTGGTATGTAAATCACATCTCAAAGCCATTACTTTAAAAAGCGTGTATTTATTGGGGCACCTGGGTGGCTCAGTCGTTAAGCGTCCGACTTCGGCTCAGGTCATGATCTCGTGGTTTGTGGGTTTGGGCCCCACTTCGGGCTCTGTGCTGACAGCTCAGAGCCTAGAGCCTGGAGCGTGTTTTGGATTCTGTGCCTCTCTCTGTTTCTTCCCCGCTCACACTGTTTCTCTCTCTCTCTCTCAAAAATAAAGCTTAAAAATCTTTTTTTTTTAAGTGCATATTTATTTCTAAATATATGATGTGAATGTTCCAACAAGTGATCTGAGTATATGTAAATCACACTCTATTTAAAAAAAAAAAAAAAAAATTTTATTGGTATTTAACTAGGAATTGAAATTTTCCCAAAAACCTAGAACACTAATATCCAACTGACATTCTCGCATGAACTTGCTCACAAGAAGCTTGAAAATATCTTAAATATTGGAAAACACTCAAAGAATACAAAATCAACACAAATTTTTAAAGCTCCCAAAACCTAAACTTGAAATTCCTTTTAAAATTCATAAATATATCAGTGTAAAAACATTCGGTCAAGAAACCCTGCATGAATATCCAAAAACTTACATTTTAATTCAGAAGTACTACTTCCGGACAAGAAAATTTATGCTTAAATGAATGTCTTCCGTATTGGGAGATGACATTACTTATTAAAACTTGATAATTGAGGATCCAATTCATAAGAAATACGTCCACAAATGCGAACGAACACTGTGATGGAAATGCTATACATCATTTCTACAACTTTAAAAACAGCATATAGGTTTCAACACACATTGTTTTCACTCCTTAAAAAAGGAAGGTGTGCAGGGCGCCTGGGTGGGTTAAAGGTTCGACAGGGTGGTTAAAGGCCCAACTCTTGGTTTCCACCCAGGTCATGACCCCGTGGTTCCTGGGTTCAAACCCAAATCAGTCTCTGTCCTGATGGTGTGGAGCCTGCTTGAACTTCTCTCTCCCTCCCTCTCTCTGCCCCTTACTTGCTCACTCCCTCTCTCGCAAAAAAACAAAACACAAAGTTTAAACGGAAGATGTGCAATTAGGTTTTCGTTAAAACTGACTGCACCCCAGTAATTAATTCACTATCTCCTAAGTCTCCCTTCCCCATTCTGAGATTTCATTCTACGAAGAATGCACTTCAACCTCTTATGTTTCACACTGTCTCATTTGGTAATGTCCTTTCCATATACTACTAAATATCAACACCACTCGGCCAAATACAGAAACGGGAAGCGGGGCGGATTGGTAACAGGGACAATATGTGTAACAGACACCCAAAAATTATCTAGGTTTCCTTACCACAAGATACGGGAAAAGTCAGAAACTTCAATGGCCAGAAAACTCCCTAAGTGCCCTCGCCTTTTTTGTAATATCCAAAAAAACTCACCGAATGGAAACACCCAGAAATAAGCTAAGATGCTCCCCAAGTCACTGGCCGCACCACCACCTCCTCTTCTCTCCAGTCACTTTAGCTGAAGAAGTGGCCAGATACAGCCACTGAACAGCCTTATCCACCAGCCTAGGGCAGCTCAGCCAAGCCACTCCTGCAGCACACGACGGCGACGGCGGAAGGCCACCGTCTTCTACGCAGGAAGCTCCCAGTCCGCAGCAGCAGGGTCTCCGCCAGAAGAAAGCTTGGGGGTGCAGCAGTGGCGCCTTCCCTCCCTAATCTAAAGCGCCAAGGCCACCCCTCTGCCTCCGCGACCCGCCCAGGCGCAGCGAGTGGCATTCCCGAGCCCGACTCCATGCCACAGGAAGTCTCCAGATACACTGCGGCAGACAGGAGCAGCCAGTGAAGGGGGAGGGGCCTCCACGTTCCCAAACCCAAACCCACCGCCACCGCGACACCACCGAAGGGCGCACACTCGGTCCTGCCGCCGCCCCCGGGGCGCAGGCCGCGGCCCCGCACCCCCCCC